AGTGCTCCCGAGCTCCCCCCGCCTCGGAGAGCCCCAGCTCCTCCGGTAGCCCGAGCTCCCCGGCTCGGGGCCAGTGCTCCCTCCATCCATCCCCGTGCCAGACTGAGCTGCCCTGGCCGTGCTGAGCAAAGCGGATCCCTTCGGTGAGGGTTTCTCTCCAAAACAATCGCCCCAGCCCCGTCTGACCCTCTGGGGTGGGTGGGACCGGCAGGGCTGGGCAGGGTCACTGCCAGCTGGATGCGGCCCTGGGCTCGCCCTGCTGCTCCTTTCCTGTTCTGAGCGCCCAGAGGTCTGTCCTGCAGCGGGGCTGGGTGCTCTGCACCTCCCCAGGGATGCTCTGGGACCAGATCGGTGTCGTCGGGTGCTCGGAAAGGATCTGGGGGCTCCTGGGATCAGCGTGGCCGTGGGGCTGAGCCCGGGAAGGCATCAAGGCTGCTTCCCTGAAGGACCTTCTGCTGTCCCCGGGGTGTCTGTCACCCCAGCTCCCCGCTGGTGAAAACAGAGGGTGCCTGGGGGGTTGGAGGCTCCTCCATTGCTGGCAGCATCCCTGCCTGCTTCGGCAGGGTTAAATCAGATTCCCTGGCTAGACCCAGCTCTGGCTGGAAAACACTCCCATCCCTCCTGGGGGACCCTGGGCCGGGCTCAGCGCCGGGCCTGGAGCAGCTCCAGGCTTTTGGGGTGCGAGCAGGGCCAGGGCTGCGCTGCTGACATGGTGCTTATGGCCCTGGCTTTCCCCACCCACAGCCAGCCCCCGGGGGGTTGGGCTGTGCTCAGCTCAGGCTCTGGCCGTGCTGCTCTGTTCTTGCCTTCCTGGTGTGCCCATCTCTGGGCACAGGTCCCTGGGGATGTTCGGGCTCTGCTCCCGAGAGGTTTTGGGCTGTGCCAGGGTGGTGACTTAACGGGCAATGAGTCCTTCTGGCACCACCCAAACACTGGCGTGCTCCAGCATGTCCTGGGTGGGCTCTGTGCCTGGGAGGAGCAGGCAGGTGGCTGGAGGGAGCTTCAGGGGGGTTGGTGGGGCTCTGTGGTGCCAGCAGGGCTTGCACCCCACGCTGACTGGCCTTTCCCCACGTCCCACAGGCTGGAGGAGGTGCCCTTGGAGGTGCTGCGGCAGCGGGAGTCCAAGTGGCTGGACATGCTCAACAACTGGGACAAGTGGATGGCCAAAAAACACAAGAAAGTGAGTGACAGCCTTGTCCCCTGGGGCTGCCCCAGGACAGCTGCACAGGTGGCGGGGAGGAACAGACGGGTGCAGCCATGTCCCCTCGAGGCTTTGGGGCAGCCTCGGTGTCACCAGGTCCCCTCAGATGGATGTGTTGGCTTTGGATGATTCCATTGGCTCCAATGGGCTGTCCCCTCCCTGTGATGCTTCTTGTGGTGGGAGGGAAATGGAGCGGGGTGGGGGCTGAGCCTGTGGTCCCCCAGCCAGCCTGCTGCTGCTCCCGTCTGCTCCCCGCCGCGCTGGAGCCTTCCTTGGGCTTCTCTGGCTGCCTGCAGGCAGCCATGGGAATTGTTCAGTCATGGAAACTTCTGGTTTGAGCATCTTGTAGACCAAAAAAAGCTCCGGGTAGGAAATGCTTGAGCCTGATGTGCTTGGCTGCAAGCTGGGGTCCCCAAGAGACCCGTGGTGTGTGCTGGGGGTTTGTGTGGCTCGGTTTGTTGGTGCTCCCTGACTTCCTGAGCCAGCAATGAGGCAGAGGTGGGATGCAGCAGGTCCTGGGATGCTGCTGTGTGTCCCCTGGGAGTGGTGAGGCTGCTGGCAGGGGCCAGCAAGCCTGAGAGCAGCTGAAAGGCCTCCTCCTCCTCCCCCCTGTCCTGGCAGAGCCTCCTGGCACTGCTCATGTGCCGTGCTCCTAGAGCGCTGTCCCTGCTCGGTGCCTGGGCAACCACGCAGCCATCCCTCATCTGTTTCTTGGCCTCTTGCAAAGGATTTGGGAGAGCTTTCCAGGAGGCAGCGGGTGGGCGCTCTGTTCTGCAGGCGGTTTCCAGTGCTCCCTGGGCCTGGGTGAAGGCTCCAGCAGCTGCACGGCTGGCAGAGGAGCTCCCCTGTGCTTGGGTGGAGCTCCCTGGGGGACTCTGTAGTCTGGCAGCAAAAATTCATGTCCAGAGCCTCAGAGGTCTGCTCCAGAGAGCTGCCTTGTTCCTGGTGCCTTGGGGCTGCTCGGGACAGGTTGCCAGGCCTGGCTTGGGAGGCTGTGACAGTCTGTGCTCTGGCAGGAGCCCGGGTGCTGCTGCTGCCCAGGAGCTCCCTGTGCCTCTGGAAAACCCCGGCGCTTTTCTGGCTCACTGCCTGGGGATCTCTTGGGCCAGGTGCTGGCAGGCTTGCTCACACAATCCCAAAACGGTCCCTCCCTTTGCTCTCCTGCCTGGATCCGGGTGGTGCTGGGCCGTGGCAGTGCCGGGGCTGCTCCCTGCGTTCCCAGCCAAGCCGCAGGAGCACAGACGTGTGGGCGGCTCCTGCTGCTGGGCAGGGACAGGCACCACTCGGGCTGCTCCTCTCCTCCAGCATCCCTCAGCCCAGCCGTGCTTCTGGTCCCATGGAAGGCCGTGGTGGGATCCAAGGTTCTGGGTACCACCCCCAGGACAGTGGCAATGGAGCCGATGTGGAGCTGAGGGGATGAGATGCTTGGCTTTGGCCCTGGCTGAACTGAAACCCAGTGAGGTAGCTTCCTTCCTGGCAGCTCAGGCAGCAGGAAGGGGAGCTGGCTGGGAAAGGGAGCAGGCAGCAGCAGCAGCAGAGCTGCTCGCAGGGCATCGCCTGCCACCTTTCCTGCTGGCACAAAGGGCTCACAGGGCTCAGGACCTGCCCGGGTAAACAAGCAGCACTGCGTCCAGGGAGCAGCAAACTCCCCTGGGAACACAGCCTTGCCACCATGCTGCTGGGAAACTCGACTGCCTGCTCCCCAGTTACACCAGTAAACTGGGAAAAGGAAGTTTGGGAAGGCAGGAGAGGCCTGGAGAGGCTTGGGGAGCTGTTGGCCGTGGCTCACAGAGCCCTGGCACCTCTGACAGCTGACACGTGCCACCTGCACAGGGACATGAGGCATGGAGGCCAAGCTGGGGTTTTGCAGGGTTTATGTGAGGGAACTGGGCTGAAAGCACCGGTCTCTGGGGGCCTCAGCCTGCAAGGCTCTGGGGAGATGGTGCTGCTGCTTCCCCAGGGGCAGAGGCAGGGTGTGTGTGGGGGCGGTCTCTGGTCTTGCTCAAGGCTGGCAGTGGCAGGGTTAAGCCAGCTCAGCCCCTGGTTACCACCTGGTGCTGCCTTGTCTGGACTTTGGTCCTGGCCAGAGCCTTGAGCCAAGGAAACTGGGCCCTGGGAGTCTGCCCAGGGAGCTGGCTGTGCCTGGAGCTGAGGCCAGGCCTGCCCATCCACCCAGGGTAAGGCAGGGGGACAGGATGTTCAGCACCTCCCTGCTCCCCACAGCCCCAGGGGTGAGCAGGAGGTGCAGCCCTGCAGAGAGCTTCCCGTGGGCTGGGCTGGAGAGGGAGCTGCCCACTCCCCACCTTGGCTCCAGCATCTGCTGCTCCAGCTCCCAGCAGGATCCTGCTTTGAGGCAGTGCCAGATTGTTTGGAGCTTTCTGCAAACCACAAAGCCTCTGCTGGGCTCCTGGCAGCCATCTGTTGAGTGCCAGGCTGGGGAGAAGGGGTGAGCAGGGTCCCTGGCTGGGGGTCCCTGTGCCATCCCATAGCTCTGTGTGACACCAGGTGCTGTCATGGGACGTGTGGCTGAGTGTTCTCAGGGGCTCAGGGACACATTCTCTGGGGCAGGGAGGCAGCTGGGGACCAGCCTGTGGCTGTGGTGCTGGGCCTGGCTCCCAGCTTGCCCCAGGGCCTCTTTGCTCCCTGGTGTCCTGGTGCCATTTGTGTCTCTCCCTGCAGATCCGACTGCGGTGCCAGAAGGGGATCCCGCCCTCGCTGCGGGGCCGTGCCTGGCAGTACCTCTCGGGGAGCAAGGTCAAGCTGGAGCAGAACATGGGCAAGTTTGATGTGAGTGAGGTGTGCTGGTGGGGGAGGACAGTGTTGGGATGGCTCTTGTTCCTTCTAGGCTGGGGTCCCAGACACGGGGGAAGAGTCAAGGGGGCTAGTGCCCAGCATGGGCTGACCCACAACCTGATGGGGCTCGTGTTTGGGACACAGCCCAGTCCAGCCCGTGGCTACTCCAGGGCTGCCTGGGGCTCACCGTGGGCTCCATGTGCCAGAGTAGGGTGTTGCTGAGCCCAGCCCTTTTCTCCCCAGGAGCTGGATGTCCTGCCAGGGGAGCCGAAGTGGCTGGACGTGATCGAGCGGGATCTCCATCGGCAGTTCCCCTTCCACGAGATGTTCGTCTCGCGCGGAGGCCATGGGTGAGTGGGGCTGCTGCATGTCTGCTCCTCAGTAGCCACTAGGCTGGACCAGCACTCTGGGGTGGCCACTGTCTGTTCCAGCTCACAGGGTGTCCCCCGTGGTGTCCCCTGTGGTGTCCCCTGTGGTCATTACACCCACCAGCTCACAGAGTGTCCAGACGTGGGCTGAGAACAGGATGACTTTCCAGGGGCTGGTGCAGGGCTTGCAGCCCTTGGCACTGGATCTGCCACCTGGTGGGGTGGAAACTGCAGCAGGAGGAGGGCAGAGGGAGGGACCAGCTGGCTGTGGCCCCCATTTCACAGAATCATACAATCACAGAATGTGTTGGGGTGGAAGGGACTTTTAAAGGTCATCTAGTCCAGCCCTCTGCAGTGAGCAGGGACATCTTTGACTACATCAGATTGCTCAGAGCCACATCTAGCCTGGCCTTGAATGTCTCCAGGGAGGGGGCCTCCACCACCTCTCTGGGCAACCTGGGTGTCTCACCACCCTCACAGTAAAGAACTTCTTCTTAATGTCTAATCTACATCAACCCTGCTCTAGTTTAAGACCATTCCCCCCAAGTCCCTCCCCAGCTTTCCTGGAGTCCCTTCAGGCACTGGAAGGTGCTCTGAGGTCTCTCTGTAGCCTTCCCCTCTCCAGGCTGAACACCCCAACTCTCAGCTTGTGTCCGTAGAAGAGATGCTCCAGAAAATCACCAGAGAAATGCCATTCCCCCATGTCAGGGAGCTTCCTGGAGCTTATCAAGCTCCCAGAGCCCTGGGTTTGTGTGGATTAGGGCTCCCAGCAAGTGACTGACCCCGGTTTATGGGGGGAGAGGGGTGGCCAAGTGGCCGGTGTCTGGTGCCCAGCCCTGCTGTGGCCCAAGGGGGAGGCTGCTGGGCCCTGTCTGTGGCCTCTGTCCACCTCTCCCTCCCCGGGCTGTCTCTGCAGGCAGCAGGACCTGTTCCGGGTGCTGAAGGCGTACACGCTGTACCGCCCCGAGGAGGGGTACTGCCAGGCCCAGGCCCCCATCGCCGCCGTGCTGCTCATGCACATGCCAGCCGAGGTAGGAGGGTGGGGACACCCGGGGGGCTGGAGGGCTGATGGGGGCTGCAAGGATGTCCTGTAGGGACACCTGGGTGCTCACTGGCTGTCCCTTGCCTTGCAGCAAGCCTTCTGGTGCCTGGTGCAGATCTGTGAGAAGTACCTGCCTGGCTACTACAGTGAGAAGCTGGTGAGTGAAGGGGCCCGTGGTGCCTTCCACAGTGGCAGGGATGTGTGATGTCCCCAGGCTGAAAGCTCCCCCCAGAGAAAGAAGGGAGCTTGGTGAAATCCTGGGTGCTCCCATGGTCTCCATGTTGTGCCATGGCCTCCAGGAGCACCAGGAATGAGGGATTAGCCTAAGTGTGCTGCTGGCAGCTGTGGGGCATCTCTGCTGCCATAGCCAGGTCTGGAGGGTGGGCTGCTCCTCCTCTGGGGCTGGTAGGATGGTGCTGGGGTGAAAGCACTCACCAGGAGCTTGGCACTGATGCTGTCCCCACAGGAGGCCATTCAGCTGGATGGGCAGATCCTCTTCTCACTGCTGCACAAGGTCTCACCTGTGGCCTACAAGCACCTGAGCAAGCAGAAGATCGACCCCATCCTCTACATGACAGAGTGGTTCATGTGCGCCTTCTCCCGCACCCTGCCCTGGAGCTCCGTCCTGCGCGTCTGGGACATGTTCTTCTGCGAAGGTAGGAGCTCCTCACCATCCTCCTCCTCCTGGGGTGACCAGCTGCAGCCCCCGTGGTGTCTGAATGGCACTTGGGGCTGCAGCAGTTGTGCTGCTGTGGCAGTTTGTGCTTGGCACGTGGGACCTGTTTTAGGGCAGATGTGGGGCAGCCACCTGGCTGGGGTGGAGACCAGGCTCTTTTCCTGGGGGTTAGAGGGCACGTGCATCCTAAATTTACCCTCATGCCTGTCCTAAGTGTTGGCAGGACCAGGACCAGGTGCCCCACAGCATCTGAGGGACATGGTGGCAGTGTCATTTTGTCCCACTGGGTGCTCACTCCCTCACCTCTCCCCTTGTAGGGGTGAAGATCATCTTCCGGGTGGGCCTGGTGCTGCTCAAACACACCCTGGGCTCCTCGGACAAGCTCAAGTCCTGCCAGGGCCAGTATGAGACCATGGAGAGGCTGAGGGCCCTCAGCCCCAAGATCATGCAGGAGACCTTCCTGGTGCAGGAGGTGAGGTGCCTGAGGGGGAGTCTAGGGGCCAAGTGCACCCCACTTGGCCACACCGCTGGACTGGGCTGCCCCTGGGTGGGTAGAGCTGGAGTAGCATGGGGAGCAAGTCTGGAGGAGGCCATGGAGATGATCCAAGGGCTGGAGTAGCTCTGCTCTGGAGACAGGCTGGGAGAGCTGGGGTGTTCAGCCTGGAGAAGAGAAAGCTCCAGGGAGACCTTAGAGCACCTTCCAGTGCCTGAAGGGGCTCCAGGAAAGCTGGGGAGGGGCTTGGGACAAGGGTAGGGAGGGATGGGATGAGGGGGAAGGGCTTTAGAGTGAAAGAGGGGAGATTTAGATTGGACATGAGGAAGAAATTCTCTGCTGTGAAGGTGGTGAGACCCTGGCCCAGGTTGCCCAGAGAAGCTGGCAGTGTTGAAGGGCAGGTTGGATGGGGCTTGGGGCAACCTGTTCTAGTGGGAGGTGTCCCTGCCCATGGCACGGGGTTGGAGCTGGATGATCTTTAGGGTCCCTTCTCACCCACACCAGTCTGGGGTTCTCAGATTCCATGATAAGCTCTGGATTTGGGGTTTCCCCTGCCCTGGGGGGGTGTCCCACACCCCAATACTGGAAGGGTTTCAGCACAGTGACACTGTCACTGCTGGGGGAGATGCTGATGGCACGAGCCTGTCCCCTGCAGGTCATCGAGCTGCCGGTGACAGAGCGTCAGA